GTCGCCATTTGCTTCTGTTGCGACTTGTCATGATCACTCGGCTATCCCTGCCTGAGCGTTTAATCAAAGCACCTCTGTATAATAGCTGTCTTCTGAGCATAACTTCACTAAAAGGTTCACTAGTCAACCGCTCCACGACAGTACGCCTTGCTGTCACATATTATGAACGCGACGGTATGTAGGTATAAAAAACCGTCTCACTTGTCTTGTATAGAGAGAGCCCACCACCTTTCACGTCGAAATAATTAGATGTGACAGTTACGGGCAATTAGTTTTATAATATGAAACCCGAGAGGAGCCAAAGTAAGGAAGAAAACTTCTAGACAATGTGGATGGCAGGGATGACTTGCAAAGAAGTCGAGAACACACCTCCATGCAAGAGATATTAATGTACTAAAGATATTTGTTCCGTCTTATGCTAACCAGTTAAGCGCTTTTTGACTAAGCCTGGGGACAAGAATCTCGAAGAGGTTTTCAGGTTTTGAAGAGGAGGGTTGGGTGAGTCATGCACAATAAGTTATGAAAATTAAGGCGCATGGCGCATCGCTTCGGACTAGTTCAACGAAGATATCGCACTGCTAAAAGACTGGCTGCGACTGAACAGAACTCAGAACAAGACAGTCGGAACGAGGAGGTTTCACATGGAGGTAACTTTGAGCATAACGTGGCATGCTCTCGCTTTCCTTGAAATCTGTTCTCAGCGTTCTCATAAGCAAGGTGAAAACATGATTTTTAGAAGATTTCGACTGTCATGTTCAAGAAATGGCTGACTTCGACTGAGAACGGCGACCAAGCCTCCGAAACGACTCCACTGTTCTTTCAGCCACTGCAGCGAGTAGACACAGCAGCTATAGAGGCATTCCAGTCATTTCAAGAGGTGGATTTTAATATACGAAATCAGCTTTTCGATAATATTGATTATATCCGTAAGGTGTCTCACCAGGTGCTTTCAGATCAACCGGTTCGTTAATGAACTGATGGAACTGTGTGTGAAGAGCAACCAGTATGAACTGATTTCCCAAATGAACTCCGCAATGATGACGAAAGCCAATGAAATCGCAGGGGCGATTGGAGTGAATACTGAACTCTTCCTACAAAGGATTCCTACCCTCGCACAGCTGTCCACAAGAGATCCACCAAGAAATCCTGTCGAGAAGGCTGCCGAGAAATACGTCACAGTGAGTGTTAAGAGGATGAAAGCGAAAAGCTTTACTATTATTCGGAGTGGACCATGCGGGGCAGCGTGACTCGCAGCTTTTATAGCGTCCAGACTCGCGACCACAAGCCTCGATGCGCCGCCTTTGCAACCGTACTCCACTGCTATAGAAGGGAGCGCAGGCATAGACTGGTATCGACCGGCAAAAGAATAGGAGGGACCAAAGTGTGGGGTCAACGCAAAGACGGCGTCCCTTCTATTTCTACCAACTGCTACCCCACGCGGTAGCGGCCGGGCCGATCGATATCCATTACTCTGATGCATGTGCACTCTCCAGGCGGAGCTATCGAAAGGGGAGGCAATCAATCATCGCGGTGAATGCGCAGGGGTGCAAGTGGCGCGATCGCCCGCGGTAATCGCCGGCTTCGCCCTCCCCTACTTCGGTCGCCTCTGATTGCTGCTTGCACAATATTTTCTTACAGGTACCTCAATATGGTCACGAAGAATCAAACGAAACCACCACCGAACTGCGGAAGTCAACCACCTCTGAACAATGCGAAGAGAGAAGAATGTGAAGTTGTGGACATCAATTCTATATTATACGTGAAGAAAGAGCTATCGCCAACTATCGATGAGGTTATCCTCATGGATTAGAAATAATTACCCTGTTTCCTGGGTTGTACCTTTAAGCACAGGCACTCTTTGGAGCGCATCAAGGGGGTAATAGTCAGAACTGAATTTTGGACATTGAAGCTATTCGCTACCCCAAGAAAATTTTTCAGCTGAAACGTCGCCTATAGCTATAATTCGTGCGCTGATCACGAATTTCACATCCGTTTCGAGTGCTGGCGTCATTTGGCGCCATTATGCGCCAATTGCACCCACGCACTTTTCACCTGAAGTTGATGAAAACTTGCATATGGGGGTTAATTGACATCCTGATCACGAATATCACACTGGTTTGAGCGCTGGCGTTATTTGGCGCCATTATGCGCCAGTAGGCACTTAAATTGGCGGCGTATGGCGCCAGCGCCAAAATTAGTGTGGATTCGTATCAGGACCTCAATTAACCCCAATATGCAAGTTTTCATCAACTTTGGTGAAAAAAGTGGTGTACGCCAAATTGGTGCATAATGGCGCCAAATGACGCCAGCGCTCGAAACGGATGTGAAATTCGTGATCAGCGCATCGAATTACATCTATAGGCAACGTTTCGACGATAAAATTTTTTTGAGGTTTTGGGGTAGGAATAGTTCAATAGTGCCGCTGAATTTTTCTATATTGTCAACCCATTGGCTGTGGAACAGTCTTACCTCCCTAACCATAAACTTAGGGCTAACTCGAAGAATCCTTGCTCATGTGATGAGAATAACCAATATTGATGCTGAGGTAGTTGGAGAGCATTGGTCGGCAATAGCAGATCTTCGGTAATCGTTTTCTGGGCGGAAGGGCGAGGACGAACCCGACCCCCTCCCATAGTACCATAGCACTCCTTTTTTGTTACAATATTAACTGAAAGCTTGTTACATGTAAATATGTTACGGGTATGCTTCTATTATTTTTCATTCTGTTAAAAAGTACCTGGACTGTTTGCAAATTGCTATTTAGTAATGGAGTAATGAAAGCTATAAAATTCTTGTATTTCATTCCTTGGGCGGAGGGTGACAAATCGTGGCAGACCCCTAGTAGTCTGCGCCAAAGTTTGAGGGATACAGTCATGAAAACAGACCGGACGGATTCTAGACATCGCGTGAACTTATGCTGTGTCTTCAGGACTTAAAGACAGCGTCGCGAACCAAGCCTAAGGTGCAAAGATCTTTTTAGAGTGCAAGATGGGGGAGCTTGTGGTCACAGCGGATATCCCTTTTCGCGGCTCAAAAGCGCTTGATAAAAGCACGACAGCTCAGCAACGATAAGCTGACTCCGCCTATGAGAGGCGGAGTCAACAAGTTCCACCTCAATCATTTTTTCATTACCAAGATTCGTTAGCGGTGATAATTGCTAATCTTATCAAATATGCCAAGAAGAATGAGCCGCAGGAAGTGGCGATTAGATACAGAGAACTCGCCCAAAGTTGAATTAAGTCGTCCATTTTTAACCCCGTTCATGAGGTCTTGTTAGGGCATTTTCAACGCATTCTTTCACTTTTTTCTTCATCACTGTTCTATTTACAACATGATCTGATGGTTATAAGCTGGACAACCTGCGAAAGGCGATTGCGGGCGCTGTCTTTAAAAGCAACAAAATCCACGATGTTACGTAACTATGGGAAAGAGTCTCAAAAGAAACGAGTATTCATTGAACATACCTGAGTGAAAAGCTTTCAGAGCGAGCACTTGTTACCTCTGGGACGAAAGTATAAACGTGACAGGTGCAATCCTCTTCCTGACTCATGCTAGTTAGTGAAACAAATTAAACAGACAAGTGCACAGAGTAAAACAAAGGAAATTACGCGAAAACAGTGTTAAAGATTCACTGCCAGCCTCACGCAACAAATTATAGTTCAAAATTCAACACCTTTAATGAACATTTATTGGAGGAAAATCGTAATGCACATAAAATTAAAATCATCGAAAAATAAATAAAACTACAGCGCATAACAGCGGAGATCAACATCTCGTATCAGAAGACGAGGTCACAAGCGGTGCTCAAAACAACCTCAGCTGTATACAAAGGTACCATCAAACAATAATTCCAACTTTGAGTAAATCGAACAAGTGAAACTTGAAAAAGGCCTGAAAAGAAACAAAACGCGCTAATTAAAACACTAGAGCAGGTGAATAGCTTTCTCATCTTCAAGAAAATCTGGGTGTTGAAATGAAGTTGCAAGTCCTATCGGAAGGCCACATTATCTGACTTCGCACGGCGACAAATCTTACCCTCCTCGAAACATTTTTAAACCCTAAAACAAAGGCCAAAAAACGAGGGCTTTCGAATTTAGGTGGCAAATTGGATGCCGATTTTCCAAGACACTCAACCACCATGACATACAACACCTTCCATTTTAAGATGTATATGAAAGTAACACTCAACCTGCCCCGGAAAGAATACTGAACAGGACGGGGCGATTGTGTGTCACTTGGAATCATCCGCTATCGGGCTCCTCTCCACCTCCCAACCGTTCTTCCCTCATGTCCCCCTCTTCCTCATCTCGTCATGTGTGTCACTATTTACGAGGCCTCAATATTAGCCTCAGCAGAACGCTGACGGGTGATTACACGCGCTTCAATTTCGAAGCAAGTGAGCCTGCACGTGCCACCCCCCCACCCCCGCCTGACCTCACCAACTACAGTATCTTCTTGAGTAACAACCCCCTCCTCGCATTTCTCAAAGAAGTAGTCGAATTTATAAATACCCGAAGCAGTGGCGTGAAAAAGATGCTCGTGGGGCCACCTACGTACTCTGCGGTGGGAGAAAAGGAAAATCGACGCATCAAAACTTTCCGAAAATGCCAAAGTATAGTTATCGATGTGGAGCTCTGGAAGGACAGGAAATTCGAGGCCTAGGTAGGATCTACTTGCATTTCACTGATGATCGCATTCTCGCGCCTCAAGCTAATAAAGCGGTCCAACATTTTGCGGCTTTGGAAGACTTGCGAAAAAATAGGATGCAAGTAATTCTTAAGAACTGCCATCTCAATAGGAACCACCTTGCTGTAATAGAGTAATCAAAGAGAGAAAGCTGAACAGACTCCCACCTTCTCCGAAGCTTCCAAATGAGCGAGCCAGACAAGCATTTTGTCATCACGTGTCGGTAAGTTTATCGAGTTTATCGCGACTGTTCTGCAGTTGACTTCGCAGTGTTTCCGTCTCTTCGACCCTCACTCAACGACATATTCGTCAAGTACGACAGACCGGCGCTTCCTCAAGAAAAAAAAACTGAAATCCGAAGGAGTGACACTGGCAAAAAATGAGTACAAAGTCTTGGACAAGGCTTTCGCAGTCTCACAGGGACGCTATCATGCTAAGAATTCCAAATATGAAATTTCAGGTGCAGCTCCAATATCCAAAATAAGCATTTTATAAGGACAAGTCATGCAGATCACGCTCGCACCAAACACCAATTTTGTACTGAAACATTTTCAGAGCTATGGAAATTCACAAGCTTCGTTCCTACTCCATTTTCACGGGTTTTTTGTGTTGGACAGGCAGTGAGTTGCAGAAAGGTGCCGAAGAAACGCCTGTGGTTAAGCGCAAAATGCAAACTCGCGCCTAGCGCCTAAGAGCGAACATTGGCTTGAACCCATTACCAAGATTGTTGATAAGACGCTTTCCGCCTACTTACTATCAAATCCTTCATTGGTGAGCTTTCAGTGGTACCCCTCCCCTTCATCAGACCCTTCAAATTGCAATACTTCAAACCAAAGCTACAACAAATACATCGACATTCAAACTCTACTGCCACAGGGTAGGGCTTGAGCTTTCCGGGAGACATCCCCCCGGTGGCCGATATAGAATGAAGTAAACCACTGTCCAGCCAACTCCCAAGGCACATTTTCATCACCAAAGATCAATACATTCACTCGGCTCACGTTTCGGTGTCTTCCAGCCATCAAGCAAATGAGATTTTTCTCCTCAAGAGTCTCCGTTGGCGAACCTGAATGGCGGAATCTCAACATAGTAAAACTCCCACGGAAGTCATACAAGCTAAATGCTTACTTCATTAGCGCCCACCACTTCCTTAGGCTGTATTTTGAAACGAGTCTCACTGACCTCTTCATCACCGACCTCAGTGTAAGCGATACAGCAGCAAAGGGCCGACGACACGAGTCACGCAGTTAATTAGCAACATGTTCTTCTGCGCCGTTCATTTTTGGATCCCTTCCATACGTAAGACGTTATTTTTTTTCATGTTTCTCTGCGCTGCAGTCCCACGGTTTCTCATGCTACTACAAATGAAAACATCCAGAATGGAACTGAATCCCGATGTTCTCCTTTAGGACAAACCTGTATTATGCAACTCTTGCAAACTCACATGAAAGGGAATTCTCTCGCACCCATATGCAACAGGAGGAACAAAAACCGTTCTCCGAAACATACAAGGGGACCATACGAAAAAAGTCACTTTTCTTCCTTGACTTTCGAGCGGCGCAGAGATTACGCGACCGCGATGTGGTGCCTGAGATCAGCGAGATAGTCGATTTCTCCGCCACCCTATTGAACTCCGCCCGAACCGGGTAATGAGGAAGTTTAGGTCAGGTGACACACTTCCATCTCCTTTAGGTACTCAACGCCCTTCCATTCCAAGTAGGCGAGAGTTTTTCCAACGCCCTCCGATTCCATGTGGTGGCACCCAATGCTGTAGCAGTACAAAGTTTCCAAGAAGGTACGGGCGACGACATGTGGGAGGATATTCTTCTCGAGTTGCTCGATGTAACCGCCAGCGCTCACCTTCAGTCCGGGGCCCACGAAGAAAATATCTCTCCATTCCAGGTACGTCCGGTCCCCACCATCAACTGGCGCCTTGGCGACTGAGGTGAAGATGATGTCCTAGACCGTGACGTTGTCGGAGCTGCTCGATGTTGGAGGTCTTCCAGATCGAGAGTACTGGTCTCCAGGTAGCTATCCATGGGTGACTCCATACTAGAAGTTTCGCAGCTGTTTGGAGGTGACATGAATTCCAAAGGTCTTCTCCAGTCAGGCTGCGACTGGAGATGACTTCATATTTTGGTGTACATGAAGGTGATGGGCGAGAGCCAGCTCCTGCTTATCGAGGAACATCTTGGGTATCTTCCGCCCTGGTACTCGTATCCACGTCCTCTGTCTGGGCTGCGAAAACTTTGCTGATATGTGACTCGATCGAAGTGACTTTTTTTTGCCCCCCCCCCTGTACTCATCGCAAGCCAGGCAAGGTGTCGGATTAATTGCCTCTCATTTCATGCAATCACCTGCTCCGGCGATGGGGCAAACCACGCAATCAGAAGTACTGCATAAGTAATTGCAGAGGCTATTGCGAGCTAGGAAATGTTTCAAATTGTGCGGGGTTAACTTTAACACAATCAATCCTGCAAGCTGCATCCTTGCAAACTAGCTCGAACTGTCTGGTTATCTGGTTATCTTCTCCCGATATGAACGGAAGGCAAAATGGCAATTCTCAGAGGACACTCTTTAATAGACCCACGGTGTCCAAAAGACCTCTATGTAACGAACGAACAGTACCCTAGGTATGCACTGATCACTGTGATACTTCGGACCATATTAAGTGATTCTTTTTTCAGTTTCCGTATCAGAGAATATCCTGTTGGCAGTCTCGAACACATCACTTGAATTTTGCTTCGTTTTGATCTGATTTGCCGAATTGCCGTGAACAGGAACGTTCCTGTTGTTCGGTTTGCCGTGCCATTCCGTTCTAACTACACTTTCCATCAACTGAATTCAAATGTTCACAGCACTCTTTCGTTGATCTGCGCAGTCTAAAGTGTTACATAAAAGATGTAGACCGATGATCAAGTGCTCAAGCTTTCTCTCACCGTCTATAGGAGCGCGTTCATACTTCGCGATCGCGCGATTGGATCGCTCGACTGGATCATGCGATACAGTCGAGCGATCACCACCGGGAGCGCTCCACCGCCAACGGTCCGTCGTCGCAGTGCCGTTATCAGTGCAGCACCTCCGATCGCGCGAGCGTGTGGTAAGACG